ATGTTCGTCTGTAATCATGGGGGATTAAGTTAAAAAGATCTGAGCAGTCTCTTCCACTTCTCTGTCCTTAAAAATCAAAACTGCGCTGGAGCAAACAAAGCTATGCCCTTATGCGGAGGTCATCACTGGCTGCAAATGGATGTTTCGGTCTCCTCTTTCTCCCAGTGGTTATCAGAGCTCTCTGGATTTTTTTCCCCCTCCTGACATGCCATTAGAAACCCCATTAGGGGCAGCTGCAGTATCCTCCACAGAGAAGTGACTATGGTCAGAAACCTGTAGCATAATTTGGCAGGTAACACATTTTGGCTGCCCTACTGCCTTCCCTCCCGCTTTTCATGCAAGCTTGCACAATTCCATAAAGGCTGTGTTTACACAGCTACTGTGAATTTGCATCACTGTCCCTGAGAAAGAAAACTGACTGCTTTCTTCAGTACTAGCCAGCTTTTAGGGACCCATAATTTCATGCCAGCTCTAGGGAACGTGTCTGTAGGATTGTGTGTACTAGCACACTGAGATACACATGGTAGATTTTATAACCCTTACATGCAACATGAGAGGGCTGTAGAGAACACGATAAGGAAGTCTGGGTTAGAGGAGAACATAACAATTTTAATCTAAAAAAGCATCTTAATTCCCTTGTAACAACAGAAATCATAGCCAACACCAAACAGGATTCCTCCTTTCTAAGAGAGCAAAATAATCTTCAGGAAATAAAAAAATTAAAAATATAAATAAAACCTAAATGTTTCATAACTATCTGTTAGGATCTACAGAAAGCTGGATTCTTTTGCAATGGCTGGACTGGCACTTACATAACTGACATAAAATTTTGTTTTAATAACATTAACCCTGTAATCCTCTGTGATATAACAGCATCCTTGAAGAATAATGTATAGAATTGGACCTCTGAAGTATTTAAAATTAAAATGAAAATTTGACCTTTACCATTTTAAGGACAAACATCCTTCATCAGAGATTGTTTATGTACATTTTGGCCAGAGTTGGAAGGAAAAATAATTTCACTCAAAACCACCTAAATCAAGTAATAGCACAGAGAACAGATTTTAGGGGCAATTCTAAGAATAAAAAAAAGATATTATGAGTCCTGATAGAAACACAAGTAATAAATCACACTGAGTTTTTTTTTACTTCTGTAATGAAGAAGGCCCATCTGGATACTTGATGATTTTTGAATAAGTCATCGAAGGGGATCCTCAAGAAGTACAACTAAACAAATTGCATTTATCATACAGATGACTGGAAGTTAGCTAAAAATATCCCTTCTGTCAGTAAAGATACTTAAGCAAACACAACCTTGCAAACAGAAAGAGAAGCGTTTATTTTTAATCCTTTAATACTTCCTCCCTTGTACCAACACAACACACTCATGCATTTCTTTGGCTATCTTTTCAGTGCCCACAGCTATTCACCACTATTATACTTTAAGTTGCTGCTTTGGAAAAGCAGCAGGAGTTTTGGCAAAAGAGACATTTACTCAGTAGGAAGGAGCAAGAAGCAATTGCTAATCCAACAGGACTCCTTCACTGGCAGAGCTTCAGTGACCCCTAATGGACAACTTCCACCAGTGCTGCCCTCGCAGGAAAGCCAAGCCATGCCATAAAAACCCACAGGACTCAAAATGTCTCATTTCAGCCTAATATGAACTCTGGCACTTTGGCTTTTCCTTATTTAGTCTGAACATCATTACAGCTCACACTCAAGATGACTGTACCTACTAGGACGCCACCTTTGTATGTTGACAATTTGAAATGTTCTAAGCCAGAAGGCAGAGAAAGGCAAACAAACCCTATGTTTAACACAGCCATTCTGACAACTAGCTAGGACAAAGCAAATTCAACCTTTTAAAGTTGCCAAAAACCAGAGCCAACTGGTTTTACATCTTTCAACATGAAATAAAAAAATGTTAAGGACTAACATCTCAAGCTGACCCATTTAAAGCATTTTAAAAGGGAGACTTGCAATCAGTACAATCAAGAGTCTGTATAAATGACAGTAGTAATTCAAAAGACACAGTCCAAGTATTTCTGCCTTTTCTCCCCAAAGTGAGACTATACCTGCCACTAGTACAGCAATGAGCCGTTTTCATTACACGGAAAGGATTCTTTGCTTCAGCAAAACTACTGCCATTTCCACTGAATGAAAAACTGCCAACACAAGAAGGGAGAATGAATTCATGCTGGTTGGTACAGTTTCTTTTTGTCTTTCACAAACTGCAGAGATGAACTCCTGTGAATGAACTCCAGTACAGGAAAGCGATGAAACTGGAAATACATTCCCCATTCCTCTTCTAGAAAAGTTTGTTTGTTCGTGTCCTTTCTTTACTAGCCTGCTTGCTCTGTTCCCCTTTTCCTGCCTACCTTGCTTTCCGTCCTACCTCAGAAATGTACCTGCTATAAATCTTCCCATCTTAGTGAGATTTTGACACACAAAAAGGCCAAGGCACTGAACAGAAGGATCGCAGAGCTGATGCTAGCACTGACAGCTAGCAGAACAGCCCCATTTAGACAACCATTGGCTTCCAAGGCGAACTGGATTAACTAGAAATCCTTGCCCAAGTCAGAATGACCTACCAAATTCCCAATCCTGCTTAAGTCTAGCACTCTAAGTAATGATCAGCTTATGGTATCACTTTCACAAATGATAATGATAAAAAGGCAAACCAATTAAGGCAAACCCTTTGCTGCCAGAAATTCCTGCCCCTTCAGTGCAGTGACATAAACAACAAATTAAATTATACGAGGCAATGCTGAAATCTCCAGCAACAGCACAAACATGCAGCCCTAAATTTGCTTGAGCAAGTCACCGTATCCTGGCTTTTAACTTCCAGTCCTTTTTTCCACCTTCTTCTCATCTGCCTTACTCAGAAGTACCAAATGTTGACATTAGTTGTGTATCTCTGCTCTGAAGGAGCAGAACATCTGGTGAGAGGAAGATGTGACACTCACTATTCTTCTAGCGCACACAGCACAACAGTGCATAATTCAAGATGTCCTGGTAAGCCAGCAGTTTTCAGCTTCTTCCATATCATGACTCACTATTACACAAGAGAAATTTCCAGTCTTCCTACCTTCCTTCTGTTCATCTATGAAGAAATGATCTGTTAACTCAACCCACTGGTTGAATGTCCATTATAGGCAGATCTAAAACTTTATGGACACTATCAAATACTGTATCAGTCTCTTGATAGACATGAACTTTGGTTTTGGTACAAGATGCAGTGCTAACTGGATACACCACTGAAATTGTGCCATTTCAGGAATTTACTGGATTAAATCATAACCACACCGAAATCAGTAGAAAACCACTGTTCAATGATCATGATCTATCTGCCATTATTTCATGAAAGTCAAGAAACCATCACTGCTTTGGAGCAGATATTACTATCCTATTTCTGACACTCCTGCAATCTCTGCTCGCCATGCTTGCTTACCAAAAGACACTCCTGTGCATTTTCTCCAGCATGAAGAAACCGCCAGGGACTAGAGTTTAGTGGTAAAGCATGTTGGTCTCTGTATTAGGAGGAAACAATCCCCCCCACACACCCTGAAGAGTGGGAATGGGCTACCCTTAACCAGGGCTCCTAAAGAACAGCGCTCTGCTAACACAAGTTAGAACAGACTTACAGCTGCAGCTAGTGCTCATCTTCCTGTTTTTTCATCCCGCGATCTCTCAGTAGTTGTGCAGACCACTCAAACTGTCCGTTATTAGATGTCAACAAGGGTTGGGCTGACTGCTGAACTTCCATATGAGGCAATGGAGCAGCAAGAATAACTTTTTTTCCCACCCATCTTTCCATACCACACTGCAAATGCCTGCTAGGTGGAGCAAGGACATAAATGAACTTTTTTTGACTCATATAGAAGTTGCAGAGATAAAATTAGGAGACAAACCCCTCTTCAGTCTCATAGTATAATGGATGCAAAGCAAACAGGTTTCCTGAACTTTTTATGGTTTCCAATGAATAGTCAAATACATTAAAGCATAAATACGTCTTTCTTAAATGCAATCATGTTTAATTTTTGGTACAAGAGACTGGGATTCCAATCTACCTATATACAAACAGCACAGAATTACAAGAAAGTGTATCTAAGTCAAATTTCTTAATTTTTATTAAATTCAAATACTGCAGGAAAAAAAATCACAAGTTTCTAAGTACAAATAAAAACAAATCAGCTAAAATAAAATGGTTGTCAAGTTAAAACTCATTTGCCATAATTTTCCCTTCCTTGCTATTGCCCACAGTACCATCAGAAATCCTACAAGTGCTTTAGAAATTGATTTTATCTTACCCATATGATAGTAAACTGTGAGTTTACTATGTAAAAAAGCAAACCGTTTAGGCACAAGGTGGCAGAAGATGTAAGCACAAATATCAACCATGCTTCCTTAATTTGTCAGTTCATATCCAGGTGTGCTAAAGACGTGCACAGTATTGTATTCAGAATGTCAGAGCTTACTCTGTGAAGGGCTCAATTTTTTTTTTTTTTTTTTTTTAATGTTAACAGTTTGTTGTGTCTTTTTTCTCTCCAGAAAACAGAGAGAAGCTGCTTAAGTCAGTGGTATACCTTACCGGTCAGTGCAAGTGTTTTGGCTAGAAGAGTGGCAAAAGTGACAAAATAGGTTCCAGCACCAGAGAATGAGAAGTAGAGAAGCTGTAGTGTGAAAAAGACTGGTTCATACTTGTGTTGCCAGTGTAACTAATAGTTTGGCGACCACCTGCTAGGATAGCATGACAAGCAGTCACATGCTATTTGAAGATATCAGCTGGGCTAGGTCATCAGCTGCTTTCCCAACAGAGCACTGATCAAGGTGAACAACTAACATCTGCTGCTCTTCTAACTACACCTAAAGGAACTGTCAAACTGATAATTAAATCATAGCAAAATTAAAACAAGTGTTGTTCCATACTCCAGATTCTACCTTATAGCCGTTATTTGACACTTGCCATTCTAATTATTCTAATAACAGGTGCAGTTCCATTGTCATTCATAAATACAAAATTTTATTTGCACTTCATTAGTTTAGAAAGACCACAATGTTTTTCAATACCACAACATTCAGGACACACCAAGTTATTCAAATATGTAACTACTGATTTACCACAACTAAACTAAACAGTGCATTTTAATAAAAGATATACCAAAGATATAATTCACAAATTCATTATCAGACAAAAACCTAACACAGTATTTGCTTGATGGGAATAATTTCCACCATTAGGAAAGAAAATAATTTTACCTTAGGTTCCCTTCCCCCCAACCCTACAGATGTCCAGACAAATACACATACATTTTCCTGTGTTAAGGAATATATATCATCTTAATTTTGTTTGTTTTTTTTTTTTTTTTTAAAGAATTTGTCTAGGACAGCAGCATTGCTTTTTATACCTTCTTTTAGAGCTTGGATGTATCTCCATTCTTTTATTGAAACTTAATGATTCTTGCAACCAAGTTTATGCTTACGCAGAAAATTACATATGCTATTTCAGAGTGCAATCTTAGATCTGCACCAGATGTGATGTCTTGGGACACAAAGAAAGGGTGCAGCATTAAACAAAATAAATAAAAGACTGCCAAAAATTAAACTTAGCTTTTCAATAAATCCAGTCAGCAGAGGATGCTACAGCCAAAAATGTTTTCACTACATTAAAAGGAAACATAATGCTGATTATGGAAGCTTTGTACATAAAGTCCTCTGTTTTTAAAAAATTTGTCTTTAAAATAGTTAGCAAAGCACCATATACTTATCTTCATACCAGAAGAGCTTCTGCCTGCCTGTTTATAATAACAAGAACTATTACAACATTTATGTCAAGAATAGGTATAGATTTAATTTCTCCTCCTCCTCGACTGGAAGTGTGATAAACCCCCACCAACTGTACAGTATTTATAACACTGGGGCAATGAATGAAACATCATTGTGAGGGAGAAGAGTAATAATTAAATGTTTAGCTGAATCCTACACAGGATTGCATATTTGCATATTTACAAGTTAGTGTGTAGCTCTGACTCGAATAACAAAGTGCAACAAGAAACTGCCAAATGATTGTAGTGCAGAGTAGTACAGATACTTTCTTTACCCTCCCACTCTTATTTTTCACTCTGTATGGAGTAACAAGTCAACAGCAACGGACATGTGGCCTTGGAGGAGGCAGTTCTGGTGGGATTTCTGGCTCTGGCTGCAAGGACAGGATACTGTTGGACAACTCATTTCTTATAACATCCAGTGGCATCTTAAAAAAAGAAAAATCACCTGTAAACAGTCATCTGCACAGTACTCAGCACAAAGAGATCGTTACAAGAGTTCACTCTCAGCCAAAACCTCAATTTAAGGATCTTTTGGTTCTCATTAGTGAACTACATTTGAGTAAGTTGTGTTAAGAATTTCTTTCAGAAAGACGTTACAAGACATTTGCGAAATAAAGCCACTTCCTAAACAAATTACAACAGAACTGCCTGCAAATGAAAGCAGGCAAATGTACAGTCAGCTGCTGATATATAGTGAAGTTGTAGGAAAGAGGAAGTATAGCAAATAGTAGCAGATGTTTACCAAACTCAACAGCAGTATTTATTAACTGAAGTGTTCAGCAGAGTCTGTGAACTACACCATGCCCACCACATATTAACTGAAAATTTCACCTGTGTGCACTCACCCCCTATGTCCTCCCAACAAGTACCTGCAGACATTATTTAAACATTGACCATTTACGTGGTCAGAGGAACTACCACCTGAATATTTTACCTTTTTCAGAATGTCATCAACAAGTTTTAGAAATATTTCATCCACATTAAAATTATCCTTGGCACTTGCTTCACAGAACCGCATCCCAGTTATTTGCTGTGCAAACTGATGGAAGAGAAAATAAAATAACTACATGAAGATACACACAAACAGCAACAAACATACAATGTACACTTCTCATAAAACCTTTAAAAAAAACCCACAACTTTCCCCAAATCTGTGACTGAAGTCTAATTCAATTAATAATGCTGAATCTCCAAGGTACAAGAAATATTGGCACATATAGTTAATTTTCACTTAAAATTGGTTTACTGGAAAAGTGTGCTGCATTTTTCCAGACTTAAAATCTGAGCAATTCATGTCTTCAGTTGATGTGGATTGCTGCATACTGCCAAAAAGCAAGGACTTTTCAGAAGAGTTAATCTCAACCTTATTATTAAAATGCAGGAAAGGGAAGTACAGATGTAAGAATTAGCCTTGACTCTCTAACAGAAAATCCTTTACTTCCAAATGCATGATGGGTAGCTGAAGGAAAACATTTGTGTATGTCCATACTGATACTGTCCTGGTCAAGATGGTGCTCTGAGTGTTATGCTAAAACATATTCTTGTCAGGTTCCTTACCACTTTTGGAGTTGGAAGAGAACAAAAGAAACATGAAAACAAAGGTAAGCTAAGTAATCAAGCAGGGCTGTTGCCTGTCCTAAGATACTACTGAGAAGCAAACGTCTGGAAGAAGGCTCAAAGATGTCCTGAGTAGAGATATGTCCACTTATGATTCAAGTCTTCACCATATCCTCTTTCAGAGCCCAAAAAGGAGCATCCCCTGCACTACTCTGTAGTGTAAGCCAACTTGTAGCTTACTCTTTCTTTAGATCAAAGACATACTGCTCCAGCAGAAGCGCATATGACTGCACATTCTGTAAAAGTAAATACCATTTGGATTTTGACAGAACATCACCACTCAATATGCTCCTTAGGTCTAACAGTCTGAACAAGAGTAGCCACGGACCATCAGCAGCAACGCCACCGCAGTATTGCTTCTAACAGTAGCTAAGAATCTGGTTACACCTGTTCTTACCTTTTCTCCCTGCTGTCGAGTAATCTCTCGATCAACTTCACAGTCCAGTTTATTTCCAACTAATAGAAGCTCTGCATCTTCTGAAGCATACTGCAATTAAAACATTTTTAACTAAACCTAGAAATGTAAGATTTTGTAATGCAAACACAATATTAAAAAAGGGAAATTCCTCTACTAAATAAGGAACCACACCTACACAGTTTATACGTAAATGTTCTTCCCAAACATTATTTCAAAAATTTTCAACTTCAATTTTTAAATTCCATTTTTAAAACATGACTTGGGAACTAGCTGTTCTATTTTATCTAAGAATGAACATAATTACTTTCTTTCACAGACAGGAAATAAAACTTTCTTCTCCCCCCCAGTGCCCAGGTAAATGAGTAATGTTACAGATTTCCACTGACACTTCTAACTGGGACAATTCTAGTTCAAGGAAGCAGGAACGGACAACTGTTTTGTAACAAAACCACATTAATGTTAAATCCTGGCTAAAAGAATCCAGTGAGAATTAGTTGGCATTAGTTTAATAATCCTATATCAATGCTATTAGAAGTCTTATAGAGTACCTTTGAGGAAAAAAAATTGCTTCTTAAAAAAAAGGTAAAAAGAAAATACTTAAGGCCTACCTTATCAATCATTTGCATCCATTTTGGTAAATCATCAAATGTTTCCGTCTTGGTGATATCATACACCAAAATAATTCCCTTGGCACTTCTGTAATAAGCTGAGGTAATGCTGTTGAATCTCTCCTGACCTGCTGTGTCCCTAAGAAGCAGCAGCAAACATTGGCACAAATATTTCACCAATTTGCAAAGTAAAGAATAACTTTGTTTACATTTTCATAAAAACACCCCCACACTCATTAGATACTCTATATCAAACATTTCCTTCTATATGTGTGAATTTCAGGCAAAAAAAATGGAGCAGTACTTTCACTCATAAAAAGTTTTCGTATTAGGACTACTTATCCCATACTAACTTCACCAAGAAAGGCCACCAAACAGTTCTACATGTGTCTGAGAATTAAGCTGTCCAATGAAAACGTACCAGCAGCTGAAGCTGGTTTTGTGTTGTTGGGGTTTAGCAGTTTGTTTTTGTTTTGTTTTTTTTTTTCTTAAATAGCCCTGAAAAAATGGAAAAAGAAATGGATACATGCTTATCAAACACAGCTGGACACCCAACTATAAAATGAGCAATGCACTTATCATTATGATTCAAGCTTTCAGAGCCTTTTTGGATCAACGACAGCAATTCAGCCATGGTTCTAAAACTAATGCAGAAGCTACTGGCAGAAGTGAATGAAAAGAGTGAGCAACCACTACGTGGTATGGCTTTTGAAAGTAGATACCTGGCTTTCACACTTACATCTACTAATCTGAGGTGTTCAAGTAACATTTCCATTCTCACTTTCAGCACTGTAGGTGTTTGAGACAGGGTGCATTTACACCGGAGACTATTTTCCAGCAATGACACCACGTCGCCCGTACTAGCTATGGCTGATATTCCAAAGTAGATGAGACAGAAGGGTTATTCTTTACTGAACCATGAAAACCTGTGAACTGCTTTTAATCATATCATGAAGCCTGCTTATGGAAGATTTTTGGCAGTTATACTAAAAAAAATAGCTGGTGCATACCCTAAGTCTTAAAATGTGACTGGTATCACAACTGGAAAGTAAGTAATACGGTGCTCCAAAGCGGTCAAGCATTTGCTGCTTGAGTTCAGCCCCCAGAGTTAATGGATAATTTTGAAATTTCTCTGTTACAGCAATTCAAGAGATGGACCAAAATTAAGAGTGGATGTGGGAAAATGTGTGCCTAAAGTTCAAAAGGAACTCTCTTCAACAGTCACATTTTAGACAAAAGGAGGAGGTGGATGAATTTGGGAATGAGATTAACAATGGAGACCTGAAACACTTGTTGCCAAAAAAAAAGTCATGTTCACAAAATGCCACACCAATTGTCCTGAAGAATTAAAGTCTACACACAACAAGCAGCAGAATAAACTACTACAAACCTATCTTACTCTTCACAAAATCTTTAAGAATTTCAACTGAGCATGTTGAAGTGAAGTACTTAACTTTCTCCTGAAATTGCCGCAAGCATACTTGATAGCAACAAATCTTTGCTAGCGATTTCACAAAGTAAAGCAGTGTCCACTAGAAAAAGATTTGAAACCCCTGCTTCACAGCTTGTGGAAAAATATCGACTAATACTTCACTGCAAGCCAATAGTGTTGCAATATGGGGCACAAGAGAACAAATTCCTATCACATCCATTTTTATTTTATTTTTATTCAAATCCCATTCTCTACTCAGAACTTCAGAATTACATTCATACAAACCTTTGGAACCCTACAGGGTGAAAACAGGTAGCCTGTTTCAGTAAGGTCAAGCTCTAGTAGTATTTCAGACCAGTTTTAGATGGTTAATTGGTTGCTTTCTTATCACTAATGGGGCATTTTTATTAAAGCAATACAAGTTCTGGCAGCTGAAACTACATAAATAACTCAGAGCAAGTAACTCTACTTTCTCTTCCATTACTTCTTTGCTATGGTCAGATTTATTTTTTAAAGGTCCTTTGGACGTTCACTCCATAAAAAATTTAAGAATTCTAGTATGAACCGTTGATTTTCCACATATGGATAACATTGCTTTAGTGCTTATGAACAGACTTCTCAGAATTATGACCTTGTAGAGCAGCCCCTGCCATCTGTGGCTAATCCAGCCTACTGATCAAGCATATTAAGGATGGGACCCCTTTACTTCCATCATTCTGAGCAGACATAACTAGATGGCAGGTGGAAGGGCATACATGATGTGGAAAAATGCATCAATTCTAGCTTTGGCCAGAATTTAGTGCTTATGAACAGACTTCTCAGAATTATGACCTTGTAGAGCAGCCCCTGCCATCTGTGGCTAATCCAGCCTACTGATCAAGCATATTAAGGATGGGACCCCTTTACTTCCATCATTCTGAGCAGACATAACTAGATGGCAGGTGGAAGGGCATACATGATGTGGAAAAATGCATCAATTCTAGCTTTGGCCAGAATAATGGAAAAAGTTGCCTTTTTTTTTTTTTTTTTTCTTTTTTGCTGGCCAGTCTTCCCCCCCTTCTCCATGCCCCTATGGGCACACAGAAATAAAGGGGTATTTCTGAGTCACCTGGCTGTGCCTTCAGGTCATTACTAAGGACCTTTAGCAACTCCATCACAGAGGGGCTACCAGCATACCAGATCGCTCTGTTCACACATTAGAAAAACAGAGGGGAAGTAAACACACTATTGTTCAACTACCCACCCTGAAGAGAGTCATCAACACGCTGGATAAGCCTAGGGATAGGCGATGGAGCCAACTACGCAACATTACACTCTGCCACTCCAGCTATCTCCACCTCTACGTTTCCCCTAGCCTGCTGAGTGCTGTATCTCCAAGCCTACCTGGTACTATCAGCTTCTCCTCACCCCACAGAACCCTCAGACTCTTTAAAAAGTTTATAGTATCCCCAGGCTGCTGCTCCTCTCCGCTGCTGTACTCTCAGGTCCTGCACTCCCCTTTGTGTAGGTCACTCACCCAAATATCACACAACCTGTAGTCTGGCTTACTGGCTATTCAACACACACCGCATACTGTGGCCAATTTAAAACACCCATGGACAGCCTGGCTGCCCACTACAATGGCCAGATGGCCACTGACTGTCACCTGCCCGTCACGCTAATTACAGTGGATTATGGCAGACTTTCTTTGCCTTGCTTTAAGTCATTGACTTGCCCACACTTCACACAACCAATGCCTCTACTGCTACAGCAAGTTTAAATGAAACCAATCAACAGGTTTCTGATTGTGAGCGTGATATTCTAATCCTTGTTTCCTTTGAAAAGTGGAAGAAAATAAGCTGAATTTGCTCTAACACTACATTAACAATGTACTAGCCTTCAAATAGTAAGGTGAAAATTGGAAAACTATTTCTGCAATAAGTACGTTTAGAATGCAACCCCAAGCTACCTAAATAAGCTGCAGTTTGAGAAGAGTATCAAGTCAATCTTTCACATGGAAAATCTCATCTTCTACCAGGTGCTATGTTACTTTTCATTAAAATGTGTAGTAAATTCTTCCAATGTTAAGGAAAAAATGACACCTCATAATGCAGAGGTAATATTAAAAGCACATCCAAATTAAAATGCCTTCCTTTCATGTGCAGTGCTGGAGCAATTAAGCTTTGTTATACTAGTTTCATTAATGTATTACACTCCTGCAGCTGGAGTATTTTAGTAAGGATAGCTATTGAAGCACTAGTGGAAAGTTGGAAGAGATGAGCATTATTTAACTGGGCTAGCAGTACACAACTTCATGAATTTCCTAGAGTGTAACTAAGTGCTGCTAGTTCTTTCTTTGCTCTGTTCAGAATCAACATAATATAATAAGTCAGTTCAATTTAATTCAAACTCCACAAGTCCAAATAATAAATTACTACAACTTGATCAATGATTTGGTATCATGGAAAAAAATACAAGAGATTACTCCTTTTCTAAATGCTAAAAGCAGTTTTCTTTCATTGATTTTTTCAAGAAATTGTTCTTACAGAAAAACACTGGTATTTCTAAATTGTAAACTAGACATTACTCCAAAAATACAAACATTACACCAAACAAAAGCAAAAGCAAATAAAAAAACCGCACAAAGGCCATTTCAAGTGTTGATTTGTCATATTCTCACTATTTCAGACTGCATAAAATACAATACAAATACAGTTGATCTTAATTAAAATAGGTTTGGGTAATTTTTGTTTTACATAAATGTTCTCTGTGACTATCTAAAACAGTAGCCTGAAACAAACACACAGAGAGACTCAAAGCTGCCTTTGGCTCTAAAGTTGTTTTTTTTATGAGTGGTGGTGTGAAGTGGCAATAGAAAGGAAAATATTTTTAAACATAAATAAAAATTTAACATTATTTTAACACTTCCACATGCTCTGTGCTTTTATGGAACCTAGAGGCAATATTTTAAAAAATGTTTTTAAGTCATTTTAGAGGTTAATTCTACTTGTCAAGCTGAGCTTTTCCCTCCCATAAAAACACAAATATATTTAAAATCTTTTATTATATGACATAATTCATTTCAGAGGTACTGAACAGAAGAAACTACATTCTGTTATATTCCAGGACAGCTGATCTTTCCCTCAGACTACTCCTCCCCCAGAGATGGTCAAGACAACAACTGTCCATTAGAGAACATTGAGCTGGCAGAATGTGAACTTTTTAATGAGAAAGCACCGATTTAACCAACCTTCACAGGCAAATCAGACTGTTCTCTTGCCAGGTCACTGGCTTCCTTGGGCATTAAACCTGCAGCGACACCAGAGAGCCCCTTTGGCTCCCCAGCCGGGAACTGGGCGCAGTAGCAGGGCACTACAGCTTCCACTAACCAGGTCCTTTCAGAGAAGCAGCCAGAAATGACTGCTGCTTGTGCCCAGATCACTCAGGTAAGAGGGCACAGGCAGACACCCAGCTCTCCTGCCGTGCAATTCCCGGCACACCTTATGCTTCAAAGCATGAAAGTGGGGTTCCTATTATTTGGTCTAGTTTGCAAGCTTTGAAAAAGCACTGATTCACAGATGCTCAGATTCACTTGGACACTTACGCTATCCAGTAGCTCTGGTTACTTCACCCACAGCCTGAGCTGCGTGCATGCATTACTTCTCACAGAGTATATGAGCTCGTTTCAGCCAAAAACTGCAATGCAGTAACAGATTTACTGTTATCTGCTACTTCTGGCAGTCCAAGGGGCACTACCAGTGTTCCAGGTGGCACAGAGAAGATGGACACTACTCTGTGTCCTCAGTGCTGCTCTACCATTTCATAATCTAAGGAGCAGGGAGTTGTTTCCTGACTGAACATCAGGGAAACAGGGGAAGACATGTGAGGTAGCAGGGACCGATAGGAACAGGTAAGCTAGAGGTGAGAGCAGATGCCTCTGTGATCTTTAGCGCACCGTATTCCATTGTGAAAGGAATACGGGAGACAAGTCGAATTTGTATACTACTCTACTAACACTTCACTAACAGCAGCAGGTGTGAAAGCTCCTTTCAAAAGGACATGTTGCACACCTAATTGCTTGATATATCTAACATAGTACTGCTGATTTTTTATAAATGGAAGTGGTAGAGCTCTGTGGAGAACATGGCTGATAGAGTGGTCAGTGCAGAGACAGATCAAGTGACCACAAAAAATACCAAAGTTAAACTTTTTCTAAAACTGTTCTTGTTTCATTTTTGAAGTAGCATCATTAAATGACCCCCCCCAAAAAAATCAAACTTTGATGCTTTGAAACATAACTGTAGTAATTTTAAGAAAACAAATAAGCATAAACTTTAGAAATTATTTGTGCACTGAATAAAACAGTTTTTTGTAGTAAAGTTACTGTAATCATTGTACATCAAACTACCAGCAAGTATGAGGCAATCTTAATTCTGTCTCTGTGTAGGTATGAAAGGAGACTGACTTAGGATCAGCCTAAGCCACTTAAAGCAACTTAAGTCTGTATTTCTAAACTTCCAAGTGTTTGACCTGGAAAATTGCCTTCCTCTTTTAATCTAACAGTTGAAGGTACAATAAGGAGCTGAAGGAACTGGGGTTGTTTAGCCTGGAGAAAAGGAGGCTGAGGGGAGACCTTATCGCTCTCTACAACTACTTGAAAGGAGGTTGTAGCAAGGTGGGTGTTGGTCTCTTCTCCCAAGCAACAAGTGATAGGACAAGAGGAAACAGCCTCAAATTGCACCAGGGGACATCTAGATTGGACATTAGGAAAAATTTCTTCACGGAAAGGGTTGTCAAGCACTGGAACAGGCTGCCCAGGGAAGTGGTGGAGTCACCATCCCTGGAGGTATTTAAAAGACATGCAGATATGGTGCTTAGGGACATATTTTAGTGGTGGACTTGGCAGTGCTAGGTTAACGGTTGGACTTGATGATCTTAAGGGTCTTCTCCAACCTAAATGATTCTGTGATTTTATGATAATAAGTGTTTATAAATAGGCCCAACAACATACACAACATAATTCAGGATAAATTAGCAAAAGGAGTGCTTATCTAATTGCTTTTCCAAAAAATTAGAAGTATGCCAAGACAGTTTTAAAATTCTGTTCTTACACTTAATCCTTAACAGCCACTGTTGGAGAGAAAGTGACACTCAGGAGCACGATGCTGTGTTCATGGATTTTATCATATTTTAAAATATTATCTCTTTACATTGTGTTTTCTCCACCATTTTAGCAGGGATTCACACTAAAGTAAATGTCACATTTTAGCAACCTATCAATTTTTAGTTTTAAAAGTTTCCTATATCCTACTAGCATATTCTCAATATGTGGAAAATAATGGTTTAGACAGCTCTTTCCCAACAAAACATCTCTCCTCTAAAGTATTTATTCAACATGAAGAAATTGTTTGATAAGCTTAGCACATTTCATAGCAGGAATTCATATCAGACGTACAGTTAACATCTCCATATCAGAATTTTTTGTTACCTCTGTCAGCTCCAGCAGACCCTGGCTAACAATTGCTGGCTCAACTGCCAGCCTTGTGGTCACAGGTTTCCAAACAGGGACAGATGATGGATGAAGACATGCCACTAACATTCAAGTGTTAGGTGACTGATGATACCAAAGATGAAGCAGCAGTTAACTCAGAGGGAAGCAAGACAGACACATGGTGTGACAAACAGAGTTGATGGTGACCTGCCAAGAGGAGTTAGTAAGTTGAATTCACTGCATCCATGTAGTTAAGAAGGAGAAACCACCAGAATATCCCAGAAGTGTAGCAACGAGTATATTTAGAGCTTTCCCCGCCTCTATGGATTGTTAGCAGCTTTAACAGTTTAACTACAATGCCAATTACGTATCACGCACTGTTAATAAAGCAAAGCTAAGCTCCTGTATAGTGGTATATAAGATTAATGTATAGAACATAGCTGGTTTATTCTCTCATAACAATGTTTATGTAATGTACTACTTTGCAAAACAAAGGAGCTCTTAAGCTCAATAAATTCTAAATAAAAACTGTATTAATCATTGACATGGAGAATCATTATCAGGAAACATGTAACCTACTCGAGAAAGGAAAAGCTTAGCTCAGACTTTGAGCTTTCTGTAGTAGGACATTGATACCAGTTAAGGTACAGAGTCTTATTTGTATGGGATTGTTTTACTTCTCAGTGCTGTTTAGAGTGAATATAATTTACTTAGTCTTGAATGCCCTTCATTTTTCAGTTATTTAATACAGTGTCAAAGAAACAGCACTGCCTATACCAAGTTTCAGAAAAACAGTTTAGAAAATACTTCACAGTTGTTTTATAATTGCTGTTACAATGAAGGTCAGTTTTAAACAGTGCAGAAAATAAAAAAAAAAGTGTACTTTCTCTAGTGTCTATTTAACACAGCCACCTTTTGTTGTTTGTAGAACTCCTACTTCTTGTGTAGGTGCTATCATTCTTCTAGGAAAAGGGGCTTGAGACCTCTGTGATGCATTAACATTTCAGTAATTACATTCATGTCCTATTTCTAACTTTATCTCTCCTCCTCCTCCTTTACCTTCACAAAAATCTAAGAGCTATTTGGTTTTGCTTAAGTCTTGTGGGAACAAAGGAGAGGAGGAATAGGGTAAGAGCTAAACCAGCTTATAACAGTTAATAATATTAGACAAGCATATTAATTCATGCTAGAACATAAAAATTAAAACATACTGCTGGTTGCACATTTGTTTTACTTACCAGATTTGTAATCTAATTTTCTTTCCTCTTAGCTCTACTGTTTTGATTTTAAAATCAACACCTATAAATAAAATACAGTAAACAGAAAAGGAGGAATAAGAAGCAAAAGTAATGAGGGTGTAATTACTATTTTTTGATAGGTTTTTTTTTTGTT